TAAAGCCTCTTTAAATACAACATTATAAGTAACAAATTCTTGTCCAGGATCTCTAAGTTCTGTTGGAAATAATACTTTAACTCTTGAAGCAGATGTACATCTTGATAATGCAACATATAATTGACCATGAGTAAAACATGGAGATCTAAGATCAATTCCAACATTTGTTACAGATTGGCCTTGAGCTTTATTTATTGTCATTACAAATGCTAAACAAACTGGAAATTGAAGCCTTTCCATTTGAAATCCAATATGCTTTTCAGATGGATGGAATTTGATCCTTAGGATGAAATGTATTTGACCTTTCTTGTCTCCAGAAATAAGTCTAACTTTTAGTTGTGTTCTAGTTGAATCAAGTAAAATACATCTTGTTCCATTACAAAGACCATCTTCTATATTAAGATTTCTTAAAATCATTAAAGGAACTCCTTTCTTGAGCTTCAAAATGGAGGGGGACAATCCAGAGCAAGTAATTGAACTTAAATATTCTCTTGGAAATATTGTGTTTGTATTATCAGCTCCAGTTTCTGTCAAAACTTTATTAACAGAAAAGTAAGAAACCTCTTCTCTAGGAAACATTTCTAAGATCTTTTCATTAATAGATTGAACTCTATCATTCCTTGATGAAAGAATTGTTCTATTTAAAAAGAATTCATCATATTCAGAAGTATAGATTTCAAGTTCTGGATTTAATGATTGAATGTTTGGATAAATTGTGTTAATAAGTGATTCAACTGTATTTCCACATTTCATTTGTTAAGGTAAAGTAATTGCACCATTCTCTACAGTGTGTTGACCATTTCCAATCTCAAGTAACCATTTAGCATATTGTTGGTCTTCTTCACTAAGACCTAATCTCATATTTTAAGTTAATTTAAAAACTTGTAATTGAGGCCATAATTGTGATCTTCTTAATGTTCTACTAATAATTTCTGCTCTTAAACCTTTAATAACAATTGGTAAAGTCTGTCTAAAATCTCTACTAAATACACATGTAATTCCACCAAATAATTGTTCTGAATCTTTAATATCTTTAAGAGTTCTGTCAACAGCTTCAAAACAGTATTTACTTTGAGTAGGTGCTTTATCCCAAATAATTAAAGCTGTTTCTTTAATAAGTTCAGCTAATTGAGTACCTTTTCGAATATTACATGTAGAGCTTTCATCTGGTTCAAGTGGAATTTTAAATGTTGAATGAGCAGTCCTTCCTCCTTGTAATAAAAGTGTAGCAACTCTGGATGATGCAACACAAATTACTATAAGACTTTGACTTCTAAGACAATGACAAATTGAATTATAACAAAATGTTTTGCCTGTGCCAGCTGGACCATTAAGAAAAAAACATTTTCCAAGGTTTTCTATTGCTGAAATACAAACAGATTCAAAAAAGTTCTTTTGTTCAACATTCATCTGTTCAAATTCTTGATTTGCTAATATAGTAAACTCTTTAGCTTGAAGCATATATTGTTTATGACTTCTTAAAAATCTGTTTCCAAGTAATTGTGACCAATTTTTGTTTACTAATTTTACAAACCCTTTCATACTAATTCATATACTTTGTATTAATACATGTGCTACAGTTTTGATCAAACATAGACTAATCATGATTGATTTTGTTATCTACTATTCATTGTACAAATTCTAGTATAGTTTGATCAATTCTTCATATTCCTTATCTATCTACTTTGCCTGTATGTAATATAGGAGGAAGTGCTAGATTGCTTAACAAAACTAATAACATACTTACTCTGTTTCTCTGAGCAACTTTGCAAGTTCCATTTCTACTCAATTTGAACAGTATAAACACATGTAACACTACCTCTACTTTTACTCTGTATTCATCACCTTTACCCTTCTCTTCTATTATTTCATTACTGTCAGCAACAGTATAGAGGGGACCTGAAGGCTCAGCAAGGGGACCCAGGCTACAACTATCC